TTTTTTTTTTTTTTTTTTTTTTTTTTTTTTTTGTGTGTTTTTTGATTGCTCATTTGGTGGAACGGTTTTATAGGACATCATTGGGTTCGTATAGCTCAACTCTACTGTAAAAAAGTGAAATTTTGAACTCAAGTTAAGTCCCATCTCAATGGGTCTAAGGCACTGTTTGGACAGACGTCATGGTTCATCAGATCAAAATTTGGGTCGAGCAAACTTATTACCGGTTTATGTACTTCAATAATTCAACAAGTCAATTTTTAACCTTAAGTCTAAAATTTCATTTCACGGAAATGAACATTAGACTTATTTTTGTAGGTATTGGTTCTTATGATCTTATTATATTCTTTTATGCAAGGGTTATTCGAGCATTTATTTTATGGGTTCAATTTTGATGATATTTTTGTAACACAATTTTGAAATTGTCCTAATTAAATTTCGTGTAATTTATAATAATTAGCATAGATAAAATTCATTACAATTTAAATAATTAGCTATTAATTAAAGATAAAATTCATTACAATTTAAAGTTAGAATTAATGCAACTTCTGTGAAAATGGGGAACGTACCTTTGTCTTGAAAAAAGCATCTTCATCAAATGAAGACTATGTTTGATAGCTAATTTATGAAAGTTGCGATGGAAGAAAAAAGTATATGATTGTGCGGAAAAAACGAAGCATTTCTTATAAGATGTGTAATCTCTCTTTAGCAGCTAATAACTATACATGACGAGGCAAAACGAAAAATATCTGCTAACGATAGGTTTGGATTGTTACAAATGATATCAGAGCCAGACGTCGAACGATGTGTCAACGAAAACACTGGCCTGCAATGAAGTGGATTATGAGATTCCACATTGGTTGGAGAGGAGAACAAAGCATTCTTTATAAGGCTGTAAAAATCTAGCAGATGCATTTTAACTTTGAGACTGACCGCGATACGTAACGGGTCAAAGCGGACAAAACCTGCTAATAGTGAGTTTAGACTGGTATATTATGCAGTTTCGAAAATAAAAGATTCTGACTCTCAATTCATAACTCAACAAACGGGTCAAGCTTCTCATTTCTCATTAACTTCGTGATATAAAGGTGCGTGATGGTCACATTGCTGCATACAAGCCCGAACGAGAGGAGACCGAGGCAATGGACTTTGGTCTTGGTGGCGAAGTCTTAGAGATACATGCCCAATGGTTTCTAGAAAATGTTGAATTATAGAGCATAGCAGAAATAACAGAAGAGAGTGAAGTATTTATCAAAAGAACTGAATCAGAGACTTCAACATAAATAATATTCAATTACATTGATAGCTAGAACAATGGAAAAAATCGTTCTGCCTTACAAAAAAAGGTACCTAAAACCAGAGAGCGGCAAAAGAAAATCTGAGACCTACTCAACTACAGCCAGTAAATCACTTGCTTTGCAGAACACATGTTTTGCATCTGTGCCTAAATCCACCTGTGAAACAATACATGGAAGTGTTCAAATAAACTCAAATAGTTCATGCTTCAACTTGGATACAGAAAAGCAGCCATATTCTAAGAGGCTGTCCACCATATAGGAAAAATTGTTCAATGTGGTCACTATAGAGTGTCGGTTACGTGGCTAACGTAGGGTGTTCGAGTTCGACCCTTAGATCTATAGGAATCTTTGATCTAAACCCCAAAATCGCTCAAGTGGTCTTCTCTCTTACGGATTTTAGTGGTAGTTAACCCTAAAGAAGGGTTTGATTGATTTCAGCTGTGCTTTAAAGACTGGTCCTATCGGGTGGTGTGTGATTGGGTCGAGCCTAATTGTAACTGTAACGCCCCAGATCCACCGCTAGCGGATATTGTCCTCTTTGGGCTTTCCCTTTTGGGCTTCCCCTCAAGGCTTTAAAACGCGTCTGCTAGGGAAAGGTTTCCACACCCTTATAAATGGTGGTTTGTTCTCCTACCCAACCAATGTGAGACATCACAGTAATAGCCCAAGTCCACCGCTAGCAGATATTGTCCTATTTGGGCTTTTCTTTTCAGGCTTACTCTCAAGGTTTTCAAAACGCACTTGCTGGAGAGAGGTTTCCACACCCTTATAAAATGTTTCGTATTGAGTGGTGTCTAATTGGATTGAGCCTAATTGTAACCGCTCAAACCCACTGCTAGCAGATATTGTTCTCTTTGGGCTTTCCCTCAAGGTTATCAAAACGCGTCTGCAAAGGAGAGGTTTCCACACCCTTATAAAGAATGTTTCGTTCCCCTCTCCAACTGATGTGGGATCTCACACTAATGTAAGTGTTTCTCTATTTTGGACCCAATAGGCTTTATGATTCTATGATTCTATTTACAAACTGATGTTACTATCGCAACTACTGGTTACAAATGGAAAATCATGAACTACTATGTATGTAGCTTACCTCATAAGCACTTATGTCCGAGAAAAGAACCTGTAACAGAAGAAAAATTCTCCGCTTCAAAAAGGTACACAAGCAAACATTTCTTTCCAAGAAACGTTCGGATCGATTGATAGAATATTGCAGCATTCAACAATATCATTACATAATCAACAGGCTAACAGGAAGTTGAATCCTTACCTTCTTTCCTTGACCCAATTCCCCAGCATCAGCACCTGTAGAGAGGATCTGAAAAAGGATATAAACTCAGCACGAGCAGGAGAGTAACGAAACACGAAGAGAAAATATAAGCTTCGTTCCATTTCCCGTCTTAGCAGATTAGAAAAACGGAGTTTTGCTTACCTCTCCCAAAAGATAACGCTCAAATTTAACAGCAGACTTGGGCAATAGAACTCCTCCTGCTGATTTCTGCGACACAAAATGACTGAAAAATTAATTCCAAACTACATGCCACAATGCTGATGAAGCAACATATTTCCAGAATATAGAGTTCAGAACGATTAGCATCGTCCATCATACGAATTATATTCTTAGGTGGCGATTAAATTGGTTCACAAAAAAGCATGCTACACAGATATCTTGACAATTAAAATCGATTAACGAAGTCTCTAGAACATTTTTGGCAGGCATCTCCAAATCAATATTGTTTCCAAATTTCTATCCCCAAGAAGCACCGCCTTAGCCGTAATAAGCACCATTTCTCGTAGTCTCACCGTGGTACAACTAATAACATAGGCATGAAAGCAAAATTATACACAACGGTATCAGATAAGATTCTTGCTGCAGTGGATAGAACAGCGCCATCCCACAGCCAATTCATTTATAGAGTAGAATAAACTCTTCTACGAAGTCAGTATTGAAATTTGAGAAGGAAATTTCTCATATTCATCATGAAAGTAGACTCTCCAACTCGTGTTTGTGGTCGGTTCCCTCGATTAATAAAGGTTCGAATGGAATATAATCCAATGTTGTTGACAGACTAAACAATCGCAGACTAAACTATCGAGATTTGTAGTTCCTTAGCAGTGAAATGCTAATGAAGAGAATAAAAAAATCAAAGTTGAGTTATGAAACAATCAAATGATTGTGTAAGTTCATGCTAAAGATTAGACCCTGTTTGATCGTGATTTGGTTAAATTAAGCTTATAAACACTATTTTCACTTAGATTCATTTTCAATCAAGCCTCTTAAGAACTAGAGCAAGAAATCACATAAGAACACAAAAGCAAAATGATTGAAGAACGTGGAATTCATGTATGTTAAAAATTCCCACCTCAGGAAGCTCCTCGAGCCGAATGAGGACTCTATCCCCTTGTGGAACGACCTGCAAGTCACAAACAACAAAAGAAAAACCAATATTCATAAACTCAAAATAGACAATGAATCGAAAAACGAAGCCAAAATCTGCAAGGTTTCAATTGAAAACTCAATAGAAGCCCCGACAAAAGGCGATGAAACAGATGCAGACCTTGGCGGGTTCCAATTTCTTCGACACTGCACAGACTTTAAGGGACGTTCTCCGAGTACCTGACCAGTATCAATGCGAAAAAATGAACAATGAAAGAAAGAAGAAACTAAAATTGGGAGAGAGCTGAGGGAAGAAGAAAAGAAATTACTCTGTATTCTCCGATTCGACAAAGTGGATACGTCGATTTTGTTTACAAAGGGCTTCACAGTCAAGAACATAGACGCCATGGATAAGGTAGTGAGCTAAACGGCGAGAATATGGTGCAGAGCTAAAGTTGGAAGAGGGAAATGGAAATGTTGCTAAACAAATGGATCGACCTTATGTTATGACCAAATGATTGCGAGTCTAGAATGTTCTATAAACTTCTAAACCCAAAACCCTAATTCATCATCGAGCTCTCGGTCGATAAATCATCAATTATCGACCAATTTAATCAAATAAAAACATCAATTCCCATGGTTCAACCCCTACTTCCGCAAACAGTAAGAGCGGGTAATCAAATTTTCAGTCAACACGATCGCAATTTAGTAAGTAAACTGTAACGCCTTGAATTTTAGAATAATATATTTTATAATCATTAGAATCAAATTTAAATGGTAAAAAGTCAGACACCAGTCGATGTGTCAGCGATGAGGCTAAACCCCAAAGGGAGAGTAGACACAAGACGGTGTGTCAACAAAGACGCTCGACCCTGAATGAGGGATGATTAGGGGTCCCATATCAATTGGAGAGGTAAACGAGTGCCAACGAGGTCAATGCGTCAGCGATGAGGCTAAACCCCAAAAGGGGAGTGGACACGAGACGGTGTGTCAGCATGGACGCTCGGCCCTGAATGAGGGATATGATTAGGGGTCTCATATCAATTGGAGAGGTAAACGAGTACCAGTGAGGACGCTGGGCTCTGAAATGAGTGGATTGTGAGATCTTTCATCAGTTGAGGAGGAGTACGAAACATTCTTTATAAGGGTGTGAAAATCTCTTCCTAGCAGACAAGCGGACAGTCTTAAAAATCTTAACGGGAAAGTCGAAAGAGAAAATATTGACGTGTATAAATTTCAAAAGTTGCGACTTTTCGAGAAAAAATAATATTTATAAAATTTTAAAAAAAATAAATGGATATTTTTTATAATTTATCCTAAAATATTCTTGAAGGACGCAGGGCTGGGTGCAGCAGGAACTGACCCATGAGTGTGCCCACTCCAAAATCCCCTTTTCTCATCCCAATCCCATTCTTTAAGAACCAAAACGGCTAAATGGGGCCATCCCTTTCTTGTCCTGTCTCACAATCTCTGCAACAATTTGATCAATTTTTCGCGGAAAATCTCCCACTCCCCGTTACACCCTTTCCCCAATTAGGGTTTCTTTTTCTTTCCCACTTCCATTTCTCTTTCTTCTTCTCCTTTTGGCCTTTTGATCTTCTTTCGTTCTTTGTACAATCATTGTTTGTGGTATAATGAGGAACCTCTGTATCGTTGAATGCTTCCTTCTCTGTTCTTCCCTGTTCGCTGTTCTTGTTTCCTCCAAGTATCACGGTAAGTTTCTTTGATCTTCGACTTTCCTTTTCCATGGCTGAATCTGCATTGCCAACTGTTATGGGTTTTAATTTGGTTGAATCTATGCCGCTTCTGTCTTGTGATTGATGGTTTTAGTATTGAAGAAATGTTTGTTTTCCCCACTAGTCTTATAGATTTCGACTAACCAGCCCACCGAGACCATGAGTTCAGCGGCCAGTACCAGGTCTCGTTGGGAAGTAGAACGGAGAGAAGGATTTACTCAGTGTGAGATATCACATTGTTTGAGGGACCCTAGATTCTATCGGAGTAAAGGATTGTCAATAAAGGCGTTCTAGAGAGTGAAGTAAGAAGATAGCTTGATTTGATATTGATGTTCATTGATTTTGATAATGGGTATCAGAAAAGTTCATAACATCAAAGAATACAGAGAGTAATGTTGTTGTAATCATCCTTAGCAGCATCAAATGTGATGACTTCATGGGAACATTTTGTTTTGGTTGGATGTGTTTATAGGTTAGTTTCTTCTTAATTCTACAGGAAACCCAGCAAATGATCTTGTTGATATCATCAACAAAAACCGAACAGCTGCGAAGCTCTCTCGCCTGAGTGACAATGCAGGTCTCGGGTGCATGGCGTTGCAATTCATCAACTTCTGCAAAGGAAACTGCACTAGCAACAACAATGTAAATTGCAATCCATCCTCCGACAACTTCACAGAAGTTTTCGCTCCAGATTGCGGTGTCGAGCTCCCAACTTTCGACACGATAACCGGCCAAATTGTGGCTTGTCAACCTGGATATCTTGAGCCAACAGAGGCGTTCTCTCGAGCACTCGTTCCTGACAAGAAAACTCTTTCCCTGTTGAGGAACAAATCTCATACAGAGGTTGGTGTGGGGATGGTTGGGGTACATAAAGGGCCATTCTTCTGGTGTGTTTTGTTCAGTAATGGGAAGACAAACTCAACATTTGTTCTTGAAAATCATGGTTTGGGTATCAAGCAAAAGAGAGGATGCTTCAGTGGAAGTAGTGTTGAATGCAGTAGAGGTCACTCCAATGGAGCTTTTTGGATCAATGTTTCATTTACTCTGTTCTTTCTTATAATTTACTCTGTTTTTTCATATAGATCAGTAGAAATTTTGTTCTAAAACTTATCAGAGAACATTCAAAGTTAAATTCAGACAAAAAAAGCTTCATCAACAAAGCTTTTTTACTCCTTTTTTTGTGTAAGAACTTGAAATGAAAAGAGTATCAAAATTCTACCAATGGTCAGTGTAGAGTTCATACATGGATGACTAACTTTAGTGACTCAATTAGGAGGAGGCCTAAGAATCCATCTCAACTGCCAAATCCAAGAGTACATGACTCCAAGTGAGCAATATATAGATATGAGCATCAGTGGTACAAAAGGAAACTTACTACCTAGAATGAAGGGATGGAAAAACTGAGCCCAGATTTCAACTACTAAAAGACCGAAAAGATAAGCCTTTTCGATGAATCTAATACGGAATGGTTCTCCAGTTGAAGTCGTACTTACCTTCGTTTGTATGTGTCGTCGTTTCGTCTTTGATGTGGCTTGTTTAACTGACTCTCCTTTGTTGAATTGTGCAGAAAAGCCTAACCACATCAGACTAGAGTGCAGCAGCAATAGCAGCACTTTGATGGGGTATTCTTGTGCTTCGAAAAGAAGCGGGAACAAGGAATAGCACGACACTGCATGAACGAAGTAATATTAACACCCTTTAGCATGTATAGATCAGCATAATGACAACAAGAAAGGATGGAAGATGATTTTGAACTTCTTTTCCTAAGAGATTAGAATTGAATGTAGGACGGTTAGGAAGACTAGCCACGTTCGAGTGACCAGGTCAAGGGCTGACTTGAAGTCGTGAAAAGACGAAGGGCACTGGCTTGACGATACCCAGGCTAGATAAAAATAACATTGAAAAGGAAATGTACAAAAAGAAGGGAGGATTGAGGCTGGAGGGGGAACATATAAACCTAGAGAAGGCAAATCGCAAAACCTCTAATGTCATCCCGAATCACCCACGAGTCCATTTTTGTATTATAAGGTCTCCGTGCTCAGCTTTAACTTTGTCATCACAGACTCGGATTACTAGAGAAATTATCTATGAAACATCTACCCAAGTACTACAATGATAATGAAGATCCTAACCAATAAAGAATGGAATATGACTTAAAAGTTTTTTTAAAAAAAGGCCCTGGTAACATTGTAAAGATCCTAATCAAGTATATCTAACATAAAGCCAAACAAAGCCTCACTATCATCGTAAAGATTCGAACCGAATACTGGCATGAATACTGCATAAAGCCTGATGCTGAGGGCTACTTAAATATTATGGCATGAACAGGAAGAAAATACCTATTGATAGTAAGAAGAAATGCCTCGCGTCCTCCAAACTTTTCACTGCAACGACAGCGAGCGGAATTACAAAGTGAAGTGATGCTTTCTCATGAACATGCCACCCAAATACAAAACCACATGTGTAAGCATAGGCCACCCATCTAGTGATCATTCGTGGTAGGGGATCTTTGAAAGCTTTGATTAGGCAAGGAGACAAAGCTAGCAGCACCAGAACAAAGGTTATCAAGGGAGTGATCTGCCATGCAAGGGACTCTCATATATCAAAAGTTTGAATCTCAAAGTGATTAACAGAAAAGGTGATAAATTATAAAAGAAAAAATAATGTAACGTAAGGACTGCATAGACCACACATTACCTACCTTACGAATTATGAAAGCAAAGAAATTCTAGAACTATTGAACTAGTGAGAATGTTTCCGTTCAGTCTTTATCTAAATGGAAACGCCTGGGATGATACCCTAAGTGTAACAGCCCAAGCCCACCATTAGCACATATTGTCCTCTTTCGGGTTTTTTCTTCCAGGATTCCCCTCAAAGTTTTAAAACGTGTCTGCTAGGGAGAGGTTTCCACACCTTGTAAGAAATGTTTCGTTCCCCCATCTCCAACCGATGTGAGATCTCACAATCCACCTCCCTTGGGTGCCAACGTCTAATACCATTAGTAACAGCCCAAACCCACATCTAGCATATATTGTTCTCTTTGGGCTTTCTCTTCAAGGCTTCCTCTCCAAGTTTTAAAACGCATCTGCTAGGGAAAGGTTTCCACACCTTGTAAGGAATAATCCGTTCCCCTCTCCAACAGATATGGGATCTCACACTAAGTCTACTGAACAAGGAATGAAACAGGGCAAGAAGCAAGCAATCAAAAAGCATAGCTGGTTGTAATGCTCACATGAGAGTGACTAGAAATTTTTTAAGGTTTAACTACAAATACTTCCTCATCAAAGTTGATGCTAGCAAATCTTAAAAGCACATCCATGGACATCCTCCTCTTTGACAATTTATGAATGTCTAAAGATCAGTCCACGACAAATTCAACGGTTTGTGCGAATGGGTTAACTACAATTCACTACTATCCCAATTATCTGCACCTAGCTTTAGTTTATCACAGAAAAGTACCTGAGGTAGGACAGAAAACGGAGATGAATCACCAACTAGACCACTAGTAAATGAAGCTGTTGGTATCTTGACACTAAATCCAAGTTTTCTGAGCAAGATAGACAGTCCTTTATCCAGTAAAATATAAAAAACCCAGAAATTTGGGGCCCAATAAGCATGGCAAAGTCCCCTGCCAAAAGGAAACATGCGTCGAATGACTTGCTGTATCTGCAAGGACGAGAATTGGCTATTAGTAAAGCTTTTCAGGAAATTTGTGAAAATAACAAGAAGTCCCTGCTAAGAATCTGTAGCTACAAATTTATTAAAAAAATTAAGTAAACAAATAAATAAAACAGAACGGGGTGCAGTCAGTACTATTGATTAGTTTCCTGAAGAGAAACTATCCATTAGATTTGCGATAGAAGGAATTGGGATAACACTTGTTCTTTCGGTAAACCATGTCCCACTAGACTTTCTAGCTTAACCCTTTTGTTACCTATAAACTCAACCCCATGGATCTATTCTAGCTTAACCCTTTCGTTACTTATAAACTCAACCCGATGGATCTATTCTATTAGCGGTTATAGTAACTGTAAGGATGGAAGATGACTCGTTCAGTTGTTGATTAAAGTGAGCCCGAGGAGGTAAGTCGTACAACGGGCATAAAATTTGTGGTAGTGCAGTCTCAAAAGAGAGGTGAATCTCGACCAATAAGCTTAAGGTTATAATATAGTTCAAAATATTTCTTCATTTGTGGGTTTGGAAATTAGCACAAAACCCAACAAATGACAGTCAATATCAACGAAAAGATGGAATCTCATTCTAGGAGCATGAACACAAAACCTCTAATACCATGTGAAATCACCCCTACACTAAACCTACAAAACTAAAGGTATGGCATATTTTCAATATATTCTTCAAAAAGGGCCTCTAATATATTCTTCCTTGATACTCTTCCCACCAGATTTCTATTCTCAACAGTCCTCTTACCCCCCTTTCAGGCTAGCATATGCTTAACTGATGGTAGATGCAAGTGGCAATGAAGGTCCTATCTAAACTCAATGCATTGAAGAAGATAGAATACAGCAAGAAGTTTCAATGTGCTCATATTCATGCTGTTAAAGTTAACATATAACCAAATTGATCGCCTGTACACTACATTTTCCTGCCACAAACAAACTTTCAAGTGGGAGTATCGAATACAGCTGAAGAACAAAGGTACTCATATTCATGCTGATAAAGTTGACATATAACCAAATTGGTGTTCTATAAACATTAGATTTGTCTGCTACAGACAAAACTTTGAGCTCAAACATAGATTTTATACCTGACCATGATAGATAAACGGTCCATAAGCAGCAGCAAAAACAGCCACAACAACAGATCCCATAATTGTAAGCCGCCTAAAACCTCTTACAAATCCTCCCCGACAATAATGCCTTAACAAATAAACGAAGTAAACAGGTGCAGCAACAGCAAACAAATGCTTGAAGCACAACAAGACTGCAAAAGCAAACCCACCCATCAAATCCCTCCCTTCCTCCAAATACGAAAGAGAAATCAGAAGCATCCCAAGAAGAAACCCATTATACTGAAAATGCAAATGATCCACAATCACGAGCGCAGGGGACCAAACAACCAAAACCCAGACTAATTTCCGCTTAATTGGATCCAAACTCCTCGTCAATCTAAAAATCCCATAAACAAGACACAGATCGGAGACAATAACTGTAATTCTCTGGAAGTATATGACAGTATTGCTGCTATAATCTAAACCCTTTTGAAGATCCACAATTTGGGGATCGACAATATTAGCAAAAATCGAAAGGAAGCGTTCGAAATATGCAAAAAATGGAGGGTAGTCAAGAGTCCATTGACTGGTCTCGTCGAAGTACCATTGAGAAAGAGGGAGAGAGTGGGTCAGAGCGAGCCAATGGCGATGGACCTCAAAGTCTGTGCTGCGGTAAGATGGAATCAGAAGGAACTTGATGCAGGCAGCTATGGCAAAGAACCACAAGAGCTCGAGCACAGGCTTTCTAGGTTTTGGGCCGTTGCTAACGTCTCCCTGTTGCCGACGCCGGTAATCCTCCATGGCGCAGGTCAAGAACCGGAGTCGAACCGACGGCGCGGCGTCGACTATTGGGTTCGTTGGGTTAGCTTGGCGGCGACTATTTGGTTCGTCAAAACTGTCCTCGGATCAGTCTCCGCGCCTTTTTTACGGAAACGAAGAGTATACTTTTTTTTTTTTTAATATTAAAGTAATAAAAAAAGGTTAAATTATACATTTTAAAGACTATCCGATTTTTTCTTTTTGTTTTTTATTTTTAAAAATTAAAAAAATTACTTCCCCTTTAATTATACGTTTTTTTTTTAAATAAATGGTACGAAAATAATAAAAGTAACAATTTTCTTTTAAATTTAATAAAAATATATATAGTTAGTTGTTTAAAAAAATATAAAATAAATTTTAGGGCTGCCAAGAAACCCGTGACCCAATCAGATCAATTCAATCCAACGCTATATAATTTTGGTTGGCTTATGAACTCATTTGGGTTGGTTACAGTAAAATCCGATCCACTCAATCCAACTTTGTATGAGTTGGGTTAGGAATTTATTTAGATCAGTTAAGTTCAAATAAATAAAAATTCAAATTTATTGTTAATTTGAAAAATATATTTTTGTTTAATATATATATTTAATTTTCTTTTGTATAAAATAAAATATTAATTCATAA